AAGCCTAAAAGCAGCAGATAGAAGGGTGGCTCTGACCCCTACTTGGTGGGACTCCAGCTCCTGATATAAAAGGAAGGTTCTAATGTGAAGAGAGCTCCTAATGTAAAGGGGGCTCTGATGTGAAAGGGGGTCTCCTGACTTCAAGGGGGAATCTGATGGGAAGGGGGGGCATTTTTTTTTTTTTTTGCATAGTGTCTTTCCTTAAAATCCATAACAGAGTTCTCTATCTGGGATAAGGGTCTGGTATGGATTTTTGCATTTTTACATTTATGTTTAACATTTCAGACTGGTGTGCCTTGAAGTTTAGCACTTTAGAGGGTGCTGTGACTGATAGAAGATTGAGAAACGCTAGCCTATACCATTGGTGTATAGAGAGTCAATGTATGTAACAAGTGTGCCAACCACTTACAGTAAAACATTAATTCAGAATTGAGAAAGCTGGTCGGATGACCAGTGAAACGTCTTCAAGAAAGATACAGCAAGTCCAGTTGCCTTGACTTATTTTTTACAGATATACTAATAAGCAGTGTTTGCACACAGATAAGTTGCCAGATTCTATTTACAGTTCTGCACTAAGCCCTCTCACTGTATCATACCTATGTTAATTCATATGACAGTTATCTTATGTAATCAAATTTAGTTTTATAAGTAGACATGAGCAATAGGATATTAAAATAAACATTTCTTGCTAGTTTTTTTCCACCTAACAGATATCACCTAGTTTGTGCTATATTTTTTTCGCAAGGACAGATTGTACAATTGCACCATTTCCCATATGAGTCTTAATTGTACTAATGTGCCAAAGTGCCACTTGCACTAAATCATACAAGATCCTCTCGATGTAAAAAAAACGGAGAGATGGCTTAGTGGGTGCATAGAACATCACTTAACAAATGCTCCTAATTATCATCTTCTCAAAACTGAACTGCTTCCCCACGGGCCTCACCACTACTCTGCGTCGGACTGCTGGCAAGTGCTCAGAAATGATTGTGCTGGCAGTTTGAGTTTAATCGTACTATAGTTAACAAGAAGGGAGAGGCAGCTGAGATGCGGCAGCTTCATCTCGATGTGGATCAGGTCCAAAGGTATTCCATCAGAGACAAGCTTGTAGCAATTTTTTCTTTCAAAGTGTCAGTAATTGCACAGCAATGTAGCGGATGCCAGACCTGGAAAGGTTACAGTGTAATAGGGGGCACAACACATTCTTTTGTAATTTGTTCAAGGTAAATTGTGCTTGTTTTCCGCACATTGTGGAAATAGCCATTTTGATAATTAAAAACTTTATTTAATTATTCCTTCTTGCTGTGGTGCCTATAAATGAATACATTCTTATGGTGACCTGTTATCTATCATTTGTTCCTTGCTTCCTTGACACCAAAGTCAGATAACTGGGGCCTGCTATGATAAATGGGAATTCAACCCTGGCTTCTGTCTGCTATATGTCAAGGGGTGGACATCTTAATGCAAACTGCGTGTTCTGCTTAGACAGGAAAAAGCAACAGCAACCCCTCATCCCCAGTATATACTTCCCTTGCCACTTTGTTCAGCACCAGGATCCAATGATAATAACCTGTGCCCTATCCCTGTGTGCCTTACGACTCCAGCGACCGTATCTTACAGGGCTTTGCTTTCACTCTTGGTGGCTGAGCAGTGTATTGGGGAGTAAAGGAAGATAAATATACACATCTTTGGAGGTCTACACTACAATGAGAAACATAGGTGTAGCTATAATATTATATACATCTCGTTTTTGGGTAACAAAAGACAAACGAGTTACTATGAGTTTAATTTAGCTGTCAAGTCAGTAGGGGAGATCACAGTTCTTCCTTCGCTCAAGATCATTTGCAAATGGCTCATCGTCTATTTCTCTCAGTGAGACACCTATCCATCTGCTGGGCAAGTGCAAAATGCAGATAATCACTAGAGAATGACGGGACGGTGAAATAATCTCTCTGTGGTAATATGTGGTAAGTTCAGGAGAAGTGGCATATTTATTTGTCTAGGAAAATCTCTTGGGTAGTTACTTCTGCTGCTCAGTACCTTCAGTTAAAGTAACACTAATCTCAGGAGTCAAATCTTAAAAATGCATTTAAGTACTCTATTAACAAAACTGAACCTTATTTGTGTATCACTCGGCTGTAGATCCTCAAATCATCTCTGAATTGGTGCTCACACTGTCCTTTATTCTGGAGGGTGGCTACTTTTGTTCCCCAGAATAAGGAAGGGATAAACCTTTCTCAGGTTTTTATTGCTGCCAGTGTCCTCCTGTGGACAAAATTGTCCAGTTGCTATCTTAAGTCTACTGTATGTCTAGCTTAAAATTGACACACAATGATTAGCTGTGGCCGCACAAATGTAGATGTGTATGGAAAAAGGCATAAGTTCCAGATATTTTGTACTACACTGTCTAATTCATGGATAATACAACATAGGTATACCAGACACTTATCCATTGGCAGTTATCATGAGCCCAATGACAACCTTACTGTTCATTCACAATCCAAGTCACTTTTAAGTTGACATCAAACTCAGGAAATTAATCTTATAAATACATTTAAGTACCTTAACTACTAACAAAAATGTATCGTATTTGTGTATCACTCAAATCATCTCTGAATTTATGCTGACACTGTCCTTCCTTCTGGAGGGTGGCTACTTTTCTTCCCCATGGTCTCTGTGTGTGTTGTAAAGTAGTCACCGCTCTAAGCTCACTCCCGTGATGGACTACAATCTCATGTTTAGTTTACTAATTTGTATTGAGATTGTAGTCTATCATGGGAGCAAGCTTTGAGCGGTGGCTACTTTACAACACACACAGGGACCATGGGGAAGAAAAGTAGCCACACTTCAGAAGGAAGGACAGTGTCAGCATAAATTCAGAGATGATTTGAGTGATACACAAATAAGATACATTTTTGTTAGTAGTTAAGGTACTTAAATGTATTTATAAGATTAATTTCCTGAGTTTGGTGTCAACTTAAAAGTGACTTGGATTGTGAATGAACAGTAAGGTTGTCATTGGGCTCATGATAACTGCCAATGGATAAGTGTCTGGTATACCTATGTTGTATTATCCATGAATTAGACAGTGTAGTACAAAATATCTGGAACTTATGCCTTTTTCCATACACATCTACATTTGTGCGGCCACAGCTAATCATTGTGTGTCAATTTTAAGCTAGACATACAGTAGACTTAAGATAGCAACTGGACAATTTTGTCCACAGGAGGACACTGGCAGCAATAAAAACCTGAGAAGGGTTTATCCCTTCCTTATTCTGCTGTTGGAGAGATTTCCCATCCCTTCCTCTCCATGTGGTACATTGTCACCATAACACTAAGGCTGGGTTCACACCTAGGCGTACCGAATATGCGTGTTCGCCACACGTTTCGTGCCACGCGGTTTTACCGCGGCTTCCACGCGTTTCCGAAGGCTATACGGCTGTATCCTAATGGATACGCGCGGCAAATACGCCCCAAAGAAGCTCCTGTACTTCTATTGGCGTAGGGCATTTTGCAGCGCGTTCCTATGCGCTATAAAACACCCAGGTGGGAACCATGCCCATAGGCAATCATTGGTTTTCACATGTTGAGCGTTTTATAGCGCGTAGGAACGCGCTGTAAAACGCCCAGGTGTGTACCAGGCCTAAGTGAGAGGAAACTGCTCAGTATCAATCTAACCGAGGTTCAAAGATTTTCTGCACTCTATCCAAAACAAAAAAAATGTTTTGGCAGAAGTTGGTCTGCACAGACTCCCATAAAAAGGAATATACCATCTTACAATCTTACAAGATACCATCTGTCTTTTTATATGGTGATTGAGTTATCAAGAGATCTTAAAGTATGCTTTTTTCAATAATAAATCCAGATTAAACAAATATACGTTGCCCAGCAAAGTCTTTTTTTAAAATATTTGCTCAAATATCTACAGTCATCATGTTTCCAAACTGCTGGCTCCAACTCTCTCTGCTCCGCTTCCCTAATCTTCCTGTCCAGTACAAGATCACAAGGGAGAATCCAGCACCTGTCCATCTACTAGCTTGAAGAAGGGAGATGGAGGGAGGAAGTGGGAGAGGGGAACAGGACAGAAGACACACAGTTTACTAGCACTCACGAAGGTGGCTTCAAAGGACCCTGAAAGGGAAAGGAGCCACCTTAAAACAGGATATCGGGACCAGTGTTCAGAGGACCAGCTGATTCTGCAGGAAACTAAACCTTACAAAACATCAATTAGCAACATCCATTGTAGGTGATTTCATCAGCATCTGAAATAGCTTAAAAACATTTTGACTTTAATATCACTTTAATGGAGTTTCCATTGCTTCCAACTACAGATTTACCGAAAGCCTCGTTTACACCATATGCAGTGCGTTCCGGCGCGAATTTGGCCAGAACGCCTCTCATTGCAGTCCGGGGCGATCAAAATGCTGCAAGCACTATTTTGATCGGACCGGACTGCAGGCACAATGTGCCGGGCGATCGCATTGCGGCCGGAGTGGCTACGGTGCAATTCACTTCAATGGCGCACCACACGCCCTCCTGCCCCACTAAAAATTGAGCCGGCTGCAATACGAGGCAGTGCGTTCTGGCCAGAATCGGGCCGGATTCTGCAACTGGTGTGAACGGGCCCTAAAAAGGGTATCATGCTCCTTTTTAGTTTAATTGTCTGCATTGTAAACAAGTAAAATCCTGCAGTAAGAATGTGATACTTTTTTAGGGGTGAAATGATGGAGAGAAGTCAGGAACGATGAAGGTACCTTGCTTGCAGATACACAAGAAATGTATGAAACCAGGGGTTAGTCATCCTAACTGTGTAATTTCTGTACTGTAATACTGGTTTAGGTAGGGCTACCCCCATATGACATCATTTTTATTATTACTATTATTGTTTTGTTTGCTTTTACTGCTGTTCTCACAGTCACTATACAGTATATCTGTCATTTTAAATATACCCGTGTCTGATTGGCAACCTCTCTGAAAATGATTCCTTCTGTGTGTAGGTACGCCAGCCTTTACTTCTGCTGCGCCATTGAAGACCAAGACAATGAGCTGATCACTCTAGAAATAATTCATCGTTACGTGGAGCTTTTGGACAAGTATTTTGGCAGCGTAAGTCTAATTACGGTGTCCTGAAATAATGTACTCTGTGCGAAATGACTTTACCATTAAAACCCTTAGGAGAATGTAAATCATATCATGTAGGCAGGTCCCTTCCTGTTGCTCTTTAAACACAGGTTGCTTTTCCTTTTGCAGCTAACCCAACAATTTCATGTTCTTTGTTGTATGCTGCTTAACGTAAGGTAAACTAGTCTAAATATGTACCACAGCAAATGGCAGCTTGGAAAGGCACACCAAAAGAGGAACATATGTGCTATGGGATAGGTGCATATATATTAATTTCCTTTATTTTTATGTAGTATATTAAAGTGACATAAAACTCAGGAGGTAGATCTTAAAAATACATTCAAGTACCTTAACTATTAACAATAATGTATCTTATTTGTGTATCACTCGGCTGTAGATCCTCCAATTATCTTTGAATTGGTGCTGACACTGTCCTTCCTTCTGGAGGGTGGCTACCGTATATACTCGAGTATAAGCCGAGATTTTTAGCCCATTTTTTTGGGTGAAAAGTGCCCCCCCTCGGCTTATACTCGAGTCAGCGCCAGGTGTCCTCTTACTTACCTCGCCGAGCGTCGCATCACTGCTGCTCCGGTGTGAGTACGGTATGTTCCCCATGGTCCCTGTGTGTGTTCTAATGTAACCACCTCTTCAAGCTTATTCCTGTGATTACAAAATACATACAGGGACCATGGGGAACAATAATAATGTATCTTATTTGTGTATCACTCAGCTGTAGATCCTCAAATCATCTCTGAATTGGTGCTGACACTGTCCTTCCTTCTGGAGGGTGACTACTTTTGTTCCCCATGGTCCCTGTGTGTGTTGTAAAGTAGTCACCGCTCCAAGGTTGCTCCCATGATGGACTACAATCTCAATACAAATGATACAAATTATTAAACTAAACATGAGATTGTAGTTCGTAGGAGTGAGCTTGGAGCGTTGACTACTTTACAACACACAGGGACCATGGGGAACAAAAGTAGCCACCCTCCAGGAGAAAGGACAGTGTCACCACCAATTCAGAGTTGGTTTAAAGATCTACAGCTTAAATGTATTTTTAAGATTATATTCCTGAGTTTAGTATCACTTTAAATGTATTGTCCAGGCTCATTGTCTGTTTTGTGTTCTAAGATGGCCTTGTCCTTATGCTGCCACTAGTCCCACTAGTCATTTTCCTTTTTTTTTTGTTTAGATCAGATTTGCCCAATTTAATTAAAATAAGGGTTGGAATTAAGATTGAAATTGAACTTGTAGTCATTAGTTTGTCTATTATGCACTAAGATCAATTTGAAAAGAAAATTATTGATGCCATCCATGCTATAATCCCACTACAATCACATTGAAAAACTGAAATGAGATTAAACATTTTCAACCTGTCTGAAAGTTTTATCCCCAATTTCACCTTTAACCAGTTGACATCCGCGGTGTTAAACCCCCTTCCCATCCAGGCCATTTTTCAGTATTCATCGCTGCGGTACTTTGACTGACATTTATTCCGTCATGCAGCGCTGTACTGAAATGAATTTTATACCCTTTTTTGGGGACAGATAGAGCTTTCTTTCGGTGGTATTTATTCACCACTGGGGGTTTTTATTTTTTTACTATATTAAGGAAAAATTACCGAATTTTTTTTTTAAAAACAATTTCCCCTATATTAAATAATAAAACATTTATTAGACCCGCTGATCGCCTATATGTCAACCACCCGGTAACGGGTGTGTTTAATGGTCGGGTCTTTTCTGCCCGTGCGTGCCCGATAGGGGGCGCGCGCGCGAGCAGAAAATAATTGCCGTCTGGAGACGGCAACCCGCAAATGCAGCAGTGCCGTCCGTCCGTTTTTTTACTACGGGCGGACGGCAAGAGGTTAAAAAAAGCTGGTTGCTGTTGAATCTTTTGTTGTGTTATTATTACCCGAAGACATGTTCATCTTCTCTGCCTTTCAGGTGTGTGAGCTTGATATCATCTTTAATTTTGAGAAAGCCTATTTTATCCTGGACGAGTTTCTTTTGGGAGGAGAGGTACAGGAAACATCAAAGAAAAATGTTCTAAAAGCCATCGAGCAGGCCGACCTGCTACAAGAGGTAAGGAGAATTACTTTTCCTACCGCATGTTATGTTGCCACCACGTCTTTGGTTCCTCCTACTAACCGCTGGTGATGGCATGTCCAGCCTGGTCAACTTGCCATTATACTTGAAGCCTGACAAACTGGAGTTGTTGATGTCGATTACTGAGCCAAATTCCAGAAACCTCACTCAGGCCCTCCATTCTATTTTGTTTTGTACAGGACATAAATGTTTTCAGCAGACCGACAGTGAACAATATACTTATATCAATGTGTGCGGGCCTTACTTAAGTGTAAGAATTGTCCTGCTTATCCACCAGATTCTCCCTTTTTGACTGGTGGGGTTTGAAAGCTCGATTCTGTCTTGGGTCAGCCGAGGCAGTTCCTTATTCATGCAGCACTTGGGGTTTTGTGTGCCCGTTGAACACCGAGAAGGCCAGCTGACCTGGGAACACTGAATAATCCCTGCGGTATCCCTGTATCTTGATCCCATTGATACCCAGCCAAATGTGGTACTGCGGCAAGTGAGCTCTGGTTTGACATGCCTTCATTCATTCAGTCTTTGTGCTGCATGTTGCGCTTGCATAACATTCTAGTTTATTTCTGTGCTGTACTCAGCTATAATTTCAAGTGTTCTCATATTTGTTAAAATGACAGCATTTGTCCATGTGTTGTTATTTCAAACTAGAATGCAATAATTTAACTGTCAAGGTTATTCCTGTACCGTTTTGTGTCTGTATTATGTTGTGCCTAATGTATTGTGTCTTGTACATGTCTGTTCTGATGTATTTGTGTGCTTCTCTACTATCTCATTGCTGAATTCCAGAAGCTAGACTCTCTTCTTTGACACTTTTTTCAGGTATTGTTGATCAGCACTAACTTTATTAAGATTATCAATAACACTAACCAAACTAGTTCATTGCTCCGAGTGGGTACTGCATATAACCCATGGCTTAGCTCAGACAACCTCTGAAATAATGACAGTTTAATCAGTGTATTTGTATTCACACAGAAAGCCTACTTAGCTGAGTTACAGTACGTGACAGAACTAGTGTATGCGTATTATGGTATGCTGGATGCTTTCTTTCCTCACACAAAAATAATGACGAACAAAAAATTCACTACTAAATAAGACGTTATCATTCCCGGAACAGACAGTACTGCTTATGAAATGTACGCTGTATGCAGGAAGTATCCTATTTGTACATGGGTCTGGTCTGGAGTCTGTACTAGTAAGCAGATGCTTCCTCCCCATTTTATTGGTGCTAACCCACCCAGTCATGGACTTCAGTGTTTTCTGTGCTAAGATTTCCTCTGTAATCATTCCTGTTGTAGTTAGAGTAAATGAAAAAGTGTCTAGAATTTTTTACCTTATTTATTAAATATCTTATAAACTGTTCTGCATTTGCTGCAGCCACCTCTCAGATTTGAAGTTTACTTCTCATGCTCTATTTTCTAGTGCACTTTTGAGTCAAAGTGACAGAGTACATTTGGTTTATTTTGATGATGAAGTGCAATATAACTGTTTCTTATAGTATACTTGGTTGCTGTTGATATCGAGATAAGGTGTTGCCTTCTATTTATGTAAAATACTACTTATGTAGAAGTACAATACTCTTGGCTTCCTCTGTTATGGCTGATGTGTATGGTGCTATAGACTTCCATTGGTGAAGAGGTACAATGCACTTGGCACCCATTGGTGTAGTTATACAGAGCACTTGGAACCCGTTGATGTAGAAGTACAGGGCATTTGGCACCCATTGACACCCATTGGTGTAGAATTACAGGACATTTAGTACCCCTGGGTGTAAAAGTGCAATTTAAAAAAAAAAAAAGATGCTTGTTATCAAAATTTACAATTTTTACAACAACATCCCAAAGAAGCAAATACCCGGGCAACATACCCAGAGACACAGAAACAAAGAACCCCCCCCCCCCAAAAAAGGAAAAATAAGGGGAAGAGACTATTACAGTATCCGTGCAAAAAGAAAATTACAGTCTCATTACAGAAAGACAATGTAAGATTACAAATAGAATCAGCAAGGTAAACTAGAACTCCTAGGTATTATTCTGGGTTACAGGGTACAATCATGGAGGATCAACTGCTGTAGTATTAGAGGGTAGCCATGGTCCCCAGATACGATCAAAGCACTGCGGTCTACCCTTCTGTTCATAGGTAAGCTTGTAAAGAGGACAGGCTTGATCGGCCAGTCGTTTCCAGCATCTCAGAGAAGGAGCCCCAGGACTACCCCATACCAAAAGGATGGCCTTACTGGCGTAGAACAAAAGTAAACGGATAAGGGTCTGAGCCCCAGAATCCAACATCAGTTCACCAAAAAGGCCCTGTAGACAAAAAGTGGGATTGCATATATTGGGGAAATCCAAGCCAGTCTCCATAAAAGTGGTGATTTCAGACCAAAATGTACGGATATGTGGACAAGACCAAAAGGAGTGAAAAAAATCTGCCCTTTGACCGCATTGCTGAAAGTACTGCGTGGTGGGGTGAAGACCCAGAGTATGTAGAAGGGACGGGGTGTAAAAGTGCAATTTACTTGGCACCTGTAGGTGTAGAGGTACAGGGCACATGGCACCCGTTGGTGTAGAGGTACAGTGCACTGGCACCCTGATATATGCAAGTGCAGTCCACAAGGTGCCAAAAGCATACCCTGCACTTAGCTCCTCACAGTCTTGGATTATAGGACAGTAACCTTCCATAGGTTTAGAAGTACACTGCACTTAGCTGGCATTGGTGTGGATTTACAATGCACTTAAAGAACTCCTAATTGGTTAAAGGGTTCATTGCACTTAGCTTGCATATGTGTGGACATAAGATGCAATTAGCTCTGCCTCAGGATGGATTCAAGAGCATTCCTTGTCCTATAGTTAGTACATGGTTCATTTTAAAATAATGAGCAGGAAAACTAGTATCAGCTGCAAAATACAGAAACTATTTACACACATTGTGACAACTTATATAGTATTTAGTTATAAATAGTGATCTTAGTGTTTTTACTACATTGCATTATACATGCTAAACAGCTGTTACAAGTATGGAGAATAACATCCAGTAAGTTCAGGAACCTGCAGAAACCAATTAGTTTAACGCTTTACAGGAGAAGTATACCTTGAACTTGTCTTGGATTCCTCAGCTGTCATACATCGGCTCGAAGACGGAGTGCTGACCTATGACGTTACCACTACTCAGTCACCTCTCGGTCTCTGCTCCAAGTGGAGAGCAGTGACTGTCATTCACTGCCCCCTGCAAGGATTCCCCCCTCACCTCTCTGCTTCTCAAGCATGGGCTTGGCAATGGGTGCCGTGGAGGGGGCAGGTGCTGCTGGCAGTGGGTGCCAGCTGTCAGTTGGGCAGCAAAGGTGGATGCCTATAATATTGCCAGGATCCTTCCTGACAGCGGCGTAGCTGTGCCCCATCAGCTGATAGCAGGCATAAGCCCTCTATCAGCTGACTTTGAGTCATAGATGTACATTAGTAAATGTACGCATGTGACCCAAAAGAGAAGTATAGCCAAAAAAAAGGTTTACAAACCGTGAGCAAAGAACAGTAAATCACAATCACTTTGTAGTATTAGAAAGCAGGAGGTACTGTCTGCATAATGGAATGGACAAAAAACATGGCTCTCCCAATATGCACATGTATATTTGTTAACTAGTTTTAAAAAATTTTTTGCAGTAGGATTATTAACATTCAGTTGATCGCAGTCACACGCCTATAAAATATACAGTATTATAAGACTATAGGTTTCTTTCAATATATCTTCAATTAAAATAATGGAATCCCTTGGCTATCACACCTTTGTACATAATCACTACGGTTTGCCCTTTTTCATTTAGCAGTTTTTACTTTATTACCTTAATGAAATGTGTGACCTTTGATTTCCCAGAACAAATGCTTTTAGTAAATGTTTCCTGTCAAATGGTAAAATCAGAGCCAGCAATGTGTTGAGTTGGAAGAAAATGTATCTTGAATGGAAATCTTACGAAGGCAACTTTGATAACAGCTTTCCATTAATATTGAGGTACAAAAATTAAATATGGCTTCCCAGCGAAACACTAATGGTCAAGTGGATTCTGCTGGGTCCAATTCAATTTTTATTCTGACAAAATATGAAACCTTTGGTGATGCATTAGAGAGTGTATCTAAAGCCATTGCTTTTTATTTTGTTTTAGATAGAGTAAGGAATATTTAAAATTTCTCAGGTTGATTTACGCTTTACTTCCTTGCTTGTAGACAGGATGTGAGAGGAAATCTTTTCAAAGTGAGACCTCTTAGGCAGGTATTTTCCCATTCTCCTAAGATTTCCCTGTATTCCCTTTCCCTTCTCTATCACTGTTCTAGTGACACCTCAAAAAGTTTGATCTCTCTCCGTGACAGTGGTCACCAGAACAAACCAAGAAAGTGCATCTCTTGAGCAAGAATACCTGTCAACCCTACCACACTCCATTCAAAACTAAACACAAGGCTTTGGTAAAACATGGGCTTTAAAAGAGGCATTTTAAGTCTTCTAGGTTTTGCAGCTGGCAGTACCTTACCAATGGTAGAATCACTGTGGTGTAGCTACAACTTTACCTTATGGAAGCTGCTCCTTCACTGGTGAAGCAAATGGTTTGGCCAGTGAGACAGTAACACTGTTGTAGAGGGTGAGTGGAGTGTGAGTGAGTGAGTCATCACCAGTGACAGAATTGCCAATGTTTTGCTGTTTTAATTATCTTTCATATGCATGAGTATATGAAGTGATCATAAATTCATTTTAGCAGGTGTCAAAATTTCACCTCAGGTAAGTCGATCCATTTTTCTGATGGATTTAATTGGCTTCTTCATATGTGTGGCACTTGTTCAATTAGTTCCAGAATAGATTCAGCTGCTTAAAAGAGAGCTATGGGGCAACCTTTTTTGCCTATAGTTCTCTTCAGGGTCACAAGAGGACAGAGAGAGAGAGAATTCTTGTTATACAACCAATCGATTAGTTGGAAAAATAATCGTTAGATGCAGCCCTAGACT